ATTTTGTTCTTTTAATGCAGCTGGAAGCTGATAATGAAATTTTAATGTTACTGATGTAATAAAGATGATAATTTACTTTGCAGCAACAATTAACTGTAGATGCTCAATTTTTTACAGAAATAAAAAATTTGAGCCAATTTGGCTCAGGTACGTCTGTAACAACTTTATGATTCTAATGAGGCTTTCACTCCAGCCTCACTGGAGGAATGAAGTTTAAATAAAATTCACATTTTATTTTGAAGGAAAATTGCATTTTATTGTGTAAATGTTCTGAACTGATACAACAGGTGATTATCTACTTTGAGAGAAATAACCATGCCTCTCAATAACAGATAAGCCAAGAAAGAAAGCAGTATATTACATAAAGATACTCGATTACAATCTGTTTTTGTAGGCACAAAACAAATTTTCAGTGATAGGTAGTTATGCTTGTAAATTGGTCCAATTCCAGATTTGCTACACTTCTGGCTGCAGAAGAAATCTGTTAGTTTGACAACTTCAATTTTTTGCTTTACTTACCTTAAAAATAACAGAAAGCACAAAGCAAGTACAGATGCCCATATAAAAAATGAAGGATTCATAGGTGGCATAAGATTGTGAACAGTTTTCATAGAAGCAGACAAAAATGAAGGGAAATTCTAGGGATAAAGACAACATGAGCTGGAATGTATTCCCTTAAAAAAAAAACCAGCAGCAACAAAATTATGAGCAAAAGCATAAGAAGTAGCAACTGAATCTTAACCATACTTTGAGTCACAAAAGCATATATGTAGAAGTTCAGTAAAATGTTCAGTGGAGTTGCACATCGTAGCTTTTTTCTCATAATGTGTATTTTCCTTCAAATTTCAACTTTCCTATTATGATAATGTGAAGGGAAAACTGGTAAAGACAGTACTGTATTTTTCACGGATGTCCAACCTTTCCACTTTCCTGGGTCACACTGAGAGAATAGGAAATGTCTTGGGCTTCATATAGGTTGCTCTGAAATTAATGCTTCCTATTTATTTCCACGGAAACTACAACAGATGCAAACAGCACAATAACATTATACGACAGAGCAAATTCTGAGGTAGAAAACACTATTTTTCAACGTACTCAACACCATTAGATATACGTTTCAGCAGCAATGGACAAGAACCTGCATGCTGTGCTCATAATTATCTACAATGGCAGAGGTGACCTGCTGTTACCACTGCTGAGATGCACCACCCACTGCCTCATTGTGCTCACATCTACTGTTCAGTCTCCATAAACATTCAGTAAGTGTCAATGAATGTCAATAGATGCCATTCTTTTTGCACGGAGAAATTCAGTGACACACATTTGTTTCATAGGCAATTTCATGTCAGACACCATTTTGTCAGACTTCTCCTCTGCTGCCATCAGATGCACAGCAACAGAATGTAATGGAATATTGGCAGAAAGGCTCAACCCCTACTGCCTTGCCTCCAATATCTGTCTCTGACATTGTCTTAGAGAGGACTCAAGGTGTTCATCAGAGATTTTTTGATGAAATTTTATTCCTTCTGTACTTCATTCTCAAAAACAGTTGATCACCAATGTATATACTGCCAAAAAGTGATGACATGAGTAAGGAGTGACTGTGAAGTGATGGATATCGCTTTCTAATAAGACAGGGATTATGAAAGTCTTCACCGGCAAGGGCTCTAGCCACGCCTCCCAAGCTGCAGAAAGCAAAGGTAAGAAATGGGAGAAGAAAGATCTGCCTGCTGTAAGGGAAGATCAGATGTGAGACCACCTAAAGAACCTGAAGGTGCACAAGTCCATGGGATCTGACGAGATCCGTCTATGGGTCCTGAGAGAAATGGTGGATCAGGTTGCCAAGCCATTATTCATCATATTTGAATGGTCATGGCAGTCTGATGAAGTTCCTATGGGTGGAGAAGGGGAAACATAATCCCCATTTTCAAGAAAATTCGTATAAATGAAAATTGATTTTATCATCACTAATACAGAGTTATTTAGAATGATGCTTTTTATATTAGACATCCTTTGTTATTGGTTTCTCTTGGTAATCGATTATTATATCCTGATGTATATGGATAAGGAATCTCCTAAAGCAAGCTGAGTACAGGTGCAAAATCTTCATTTTGCATCAGAAGATGTGTTTAAATAAAATATTTTTCTTCACAATCCAGAATTTCTAGTGATATGTCCCTGTTTCTGTTTTTTGATGTAAAAAGTTCATCTGTACTGTACTGCATACATGAAATGCACACAAAACAGGCCATCTTCACTAAAGCAGCCCTGGATCATAAAACATGTTAAGTAAAATTAATCTAAGTTTCAATAAAGAAATAATCACATATTTAAATAAATAACACGTGAAGACAGCTGTTTGATGAAGGAATAGCCTGCAACTACAACATGAGCACGAAAAGAGTTGGACTGTTGTTGGATCTCAGTAGCAGCTGTGGGGTGAAAAGAGAATGACCCATAGGTAATGTAGCATTCTGTTAAGAACCAAAGGAGCACAGAGAATGGTCTCCATGCTCCATCCTTCTCCCTCTCTGTGTACATGGAGCCAGTTCTCTAACAAATGGGCATCTGTAATACGTACTGTCAAGGGACGTTGTCACAAGGGCAGCGGTCTGCTTTCTGCTTGCTGGAAGGAAACTGCATTACAAATGCTTTTCTGCACATGAATTAGCACAAAACTCCCCAAAATCTTTGTGCTGAGTGAGCATAAAGATCACAACAATCAGATGAAAAATGTACTCCAGTCAAGGAAAATCTGAAGAAATTCAGATATAAATATTTCATTTATTTCAGTCACATTCAAATATTGCTTATAAACAAAAATTGAGCATATGACTTCACCATCCATAACACAGAGTGATGTGGAATAATTTTTAGATTGGACATATTTTTTGTTATTGGATTCTCTGGGCAATTAATTATTATATCCTCATGTATACAATAAGAAACCTCCTAAACCAAGTGATTACAGGGCATGCTCAATACATCTGACAGCATAATTTCCACTAAAAGTTATAAAAATCAAGATCTTATGCTCACAACTTTTGTAGGTAGAAGCTTTTATTTTATATTGTTATAGCAGCTTTTACAGAATAGGTATAACTGGTTGTTTGAGTACCATCATAGGTAGCAATATGTGATGTATTTTATTGTTTTACACACTGAAAACAATTGGAGCGAGTTGCATGCATTCCTCTGTCATTTGTAATAAGTAAGTGGAAACTGGGAGAAGTAGTATTCTTTAGTCTATAATGAGTGATAGGAGACACTCAGTGTTTCTATTATCTGCAATGACTATAAAAAATTTACTTGTTCTGTGTACTGATCTGCCTCTGTTCATGTTTCTTGTGCATACAGTTATGCACAAGTAAAGTTTGAAGGCCGAATTTCTCGGGTTTCTCTAGCACTAAACAAATCTAGTAATAACACCTCCATGTTTTTACCAATCATATTATTTTCCTTATTACAAATTCTCCATGTAATATGAATAAACAAATACATTTAATATTGAGGAAAATTCTGAAGGAAAGTAAGATTTCACTTACTGACTCATCTGTAGTGGTATATACCACCTTTGACAGCGAGCAGTAGCAGTTAAAAAGTACATGAATGGAAAAAAAACAACAGACAGCAAATAACTTTCTGTCTCTATTGATGTCCATTAATTTCACAGTGTCGAGTGACTGATCACAGCTTCTGCACTCTACTGAGCAATTTAGAAATAAATCAACTAGAAAGCATTCCCATTCTGTCCTTCAGTTATTTATTTGAGCATCTGAATCATACAGTGCAATTCAGTAATCATGGAGGTACTTCTTTTCTGGAAACACTGGTCTTTGGATGCTGATTGTTCAACAATTCATTCCAGTTCATGAAGGTACGAGTAATAGGGAGTCTCCTTCGCAGATTTTTCCTCCATGTATGCTCTGACAAGGCCTGGATGTTTTCCATAATGGCATTATGAATCTTGTTGTCTTCGGCTTTCACGAACTTCACGAAATCTGTGACAAACTGATTTCGGTCTATCACATGCAGAGACTCGCTTACAGACTTGTTGACAGTTACATGGAGGTTAGCATCTCTGAAGTAGTGTAACTGGAGAAAAAATACTCCTGTAACTCGGGTCATAACTGGAGTCAGAGCAAAAGTCCAGTCAGACTTCCAAAGGCTGTTCCAGTGTTTAGAGGGCTGGTACAGATGAGCCTCAATGCAGGCCACTAACATCTGCCTCTTCCCCAGGCTTTTTTTGAACACACAGCAGTTCCCTGAAGGAAAGTGGCAGTTCACATAGGCATTCAAACCCTTGTGGAGGGCTCCTCTCCACAGCTCCCCCTCATCTAGCATTACTCTATGCAAATGGGTTTTGCTGGTTATCCCACTCAAATGGTCAAACTCAAAGGAGAATTTGTCTTGAGGGTAGAAGAAGCGGTTTCCTCCTATGTCATTGTACTGAGTCAGTAGCACATTGTTCCCATTTACAAACACAGGGGTGAAGTTGTTCTTATTGTGACGGGCCCCAGCGTGGGCAGCCTCCTGCTTCACCAGCTCATCATCTTGGACCAGATCGCAGAGATCTTGGACAACCTGCCTGAATTCCCCTGGAGGGGACTGGCGCAGCAGCCCGCAAATGAGGGACACTTTCTCTGACGCACGCAGCCCCTGCTCCACACTCATGATTGGGGCCAGGGCTAAGAGAAAGATAGAAGTTGATAGGTGAGGGGAGGAGATGCTGAGGGAACAGCCTCAAGATAGTGAGGAGGGGGAGAAGTGTTGGTGCTCCAGAACTCCACAGTTTGTGACCTCACACATCTGAACTAATGCCAGTGGGGTCTGAGTGTGGGGAAGGAGCAAAGAGGGTCCTGGAACCCCAGCAGAGGAGCTGGGGTGTGAGGGAAATAAAAGGGCCCCACAGGGAGCCAGAGCATGCTGAGGTGATGGCCTGCCAAATGCTAGCAATGCCGTCAAAGTGAAGAACAAGGAGCTGGCAACACGGAGTCACCATGGAGGAGAACAGATATCCTCCTCCACCTCCCTCAGCTCTGCCTCCTCTTCTTCTCCATCCTCCTCCTCCTCTTGGTCTTCCCTGTGACACCTGCCACTGTATAACTTTTTCCTGACTTGAGCATGCATCGAGGCCTGGGCCAGGCTTGGGCCCGCATGGGACCACATGGCTGAAGTGCAAGAGGACCTGAGCCTGCAGGATGGTCTGCTCAGGGCTTGCTAGCTTGGGCTGCTTAGGCCAGTAGGGTGGGCACAGTGCCTCACTGCTGCTCCTCGTGGACACTCCTTTTCCTGCTGTCCCCCATCTATCTCTCTACTTCTCTCTCCTCATTTCAAGGCCCTTCTTCACCCTGACTACCCTTCATCTTCCTGCAAACTCTCCCTGTGTCTTTGGCTCTTTTCTGTGCCCCCAGGTTTCACTGAGTGCAGAGCACAAATGTATTTCTGTTCTGAGAAAACATACAAGCATTTTAGGTTGAAAATGTTGTCTCACCTTGTTGAAATAGTGGCAGAGGTCAGACTTTTCCTTAACTTGATCTCTTGTACGTGGTTTTTGAACATCATTCAGGATGACTTCATGGATGGGAAGATTGATTTAGATAGCACTGTTAAACTACTTGAAAAACTGCACATGCCTTTTAATCTCGCCCATGTGAAACATGTTTTCAAGGTGAGGAATATATAGATTCAGCGATCAGATACATTTAGAAGGTCAGTTACATAAGGGTATTATATAAGCTGTGCTTTTAAATCTTTTTTTTTTTTTTTTTTTAAATTTAGTTTATTTTGTGAAATTAATTTCATGCTTACAGAGTGTGCACAATCAGCAAATAATTTGCCATATCCAGATCCTTTGTTTCTGTGTAAAATAGATAGCTGAGTGGTTGCATGACCACTACCATCTCTTCACCACAGCAAAATGGTGTTGAGCGATAAAAATAAACAAACATGTAGGCCCTGATTCCCAACTGTATTGTAACAAGGCCTCAATGGAGAACAATGTAAATATTCTGACTTCATCCCATGGAGCTGCTTCTGTGATTGAGCTAATGAGCGCAGCCATGCCTGGCTATTGCTGTTCAGAGACATTAGAGAGATTGCTATCAACAATATGAAGGTATCTGATCTGTTCCAGCTTCAAGTCAATGTAAATCCAGCACACTTACTCAGTTTTCCACCATAACTCTCTTGTGAAGCACTTAAGAGATATGCTTTGATATCACATACATCCATAGCACTCTCGCTCCTGGGGAAGGATGTGGCCTTGAGATACAGCAATGATCATGGGTTTTCTACGTATGCAAAATAAAACAGCTAGAAATAAGCCTCAATAATAGGGTAATTTAATTTAGGCTCTCAAATTATGATTAGGTTCATATATTCCCACTGAGAAAAAACTGTAAAATTGAGTGCCTTTGGACACATTGGGATTTCATGTTCTTCAGGTCCATCCTATTAATTAATCAAAAATTATATGGATTTTTCTTTTATCTTATTTTTTTTTTCAAACCAAAATAGCCATTTGGTAAATCTGTTTTGCTAAGAAAATGAAACTCAGTGACTATTTATACATATGATTTCTATGTGATTGTTTTGCAACCAGTTTTCTAATTCTGTCCAGATTTGGTATAGGAGAATTAGCTCTGGAAATTCCAAAAGTTTTGGATCTTGTCATACTGCAGGGAAGGCAGGGAGATGGAAAGCACTAGTATTTCCTCATTCTATCTTGTTTTGTAGTTCTCTCTAGCCCAGGTGAAAACAGCAGTGTGAGTGCAGTCCTTGCTAACCATGGGGTGATGCCCATGATTTTTGAATTTTTCACTGCATTGAGACAATTGCTAAACTCGAGAATTTCACGAGAACTTGAAACTATTTCTCTATAATTGTCTGTTATTTTCCATTAGAAATCCACCTGATTTCTGACAGAAATCTGATATATTTGATGAACTGTGGGTGGAGAATAATTATTTGGGGAAGTGATCTGCATAGAATAAGCTTGGTCTAGCTACAGATACTCAGAAGTGTATATTCTGAGTATCTGTGTATAAGTGTATAAAGTATTTGACAGCCTGATCTAGTAGTTCTTAGCAGTGCTGTTAGGTATTCTTTACTTTCTGAGATATTTGGCTATTTTCAATAATTTGAATAATTAAATTGTTCATCACTCTAACAGGATGTAAAATGCAAAATCTGGAAGGAATTTTTTCTGCCATTATTTTCACTAACTACATATTGATAATCACATAACTATACACAACAAAAATCTATTTTGTAGGAAACATAGTTTTTAAAGAACAATTTACTTTGTTTTATATTCTCTTTTGTTTACCGTAATGCTCCTTTGGGCGATATCAGAATTATGAACATAAACATTTTAAAGGAATGACAAATTTTAATATACTTCTCAGAACTAAGCCCTTGTCAAGATACTTTTTTTCTGAAAAGATGTGATGTGCCTTAATGAAAATAATAATAATAATAATAAAAATCTGCCAATAAAAGTTTTATAACTATCTTTTTTTTTTTAAACATTTTGATGAGATTTTCATAACTTTAATTTCAAAAATACCCCTAGGCAGTATAGTTATCTACATTTCAGAAAAGGACAACGAAATAGAAAATTTAATTTTCTGGCCAGTTTCACTTTGTGCCAGTAGCTGAGAGAAGGTCTCCTGAGTCCTCGTGGATGCTTAATTTCTAAATGAGTTGATATTTCCTTTTTCTGATTAACAATTATGAGTAAATTTGCACTTGCCTTAAAGATGTTAAAAAAATAGTTGAATGATTTCAACCCAAGACTTGGGATTTTTCAAGCAGTAATAAAAAGCATATGATTAGTTTCCTGAATTATTATCTTGGTGCTTAGTTTCATTAAAAGTGATTGCTACTTTTTTTTTTTTTTAAACAAACTCAAAGCAGATACTTCATTACTGTTACGTAAAATTTTTGAAATTTTCTTTTTAGCTAGTATTGTGTTCTTCTTTGTTGTCGTACTTGCACTGCCATCTCTCAGTGGGAACTCTACTGCATAGGAAAAAAACTGGCAATGTAGCATTTAGATTCTATGGTGTCTCTTCAAAACTACTCTAATCAGTAGTAATCAGAAGCTTTCATCAAACAGTAGCCAGAGTTCCAATTAGATATCTTTTATTTATGGACAATTTTGGGGAGGCTCTGCACATCAAAGCAGGTGTCATTATTATGTGGTGAAATCCAACCTCCTTGGTAGTCACATCTGAAGGAGCCAAAAGTTACAAATGTTAATTAGCCTACAGTGGTAAAAAAAATAAATTTGTATATGATTTTGTGGCTATTTTTTTGAGTAAATTTCCAAAGTTTATCTTACTTTTACAATAACAAATTTAACACATGCAAGCTAAACTGATGTAAACACATTTCATGTGCACAACTACATATTTTGGTAGAAATTTTTAAAGGATAACATGAAAATTTGGTTCTTATTTCATTGTTCAGATCACAACTTGATGTATGTTGTATGTAAATTTAAAATACTGTACTTACAATTTGGTTCAATTTTCTGTGAGAGGGGTATCATATTAAGAATATTTTCTTCAACATTTTCTATGCTGCATATTTATCGTAACGCATAGCATTTTAACGTAGATTTATGTTTTAATATTGCACATATTATATATGAATTACTTTTAGTTACTTAGATGCCATGTCATATGATACGTTTTAATTTGTCCAAAAACACTTTTAACACAGAAAGACAAATCTAAACGTTGCAAATAAAAGACTATAATTTGATAATGTATTGTAGCCACTGCTGCCCTAAGCTTTCTCTGTTGTTGTAGTTCTTTCAATATTATAATATAATATAATATAATATAATATTATAATATATTATAGACTGGTTTATCTGTATCTTTTTACTATTGTATATCTTTGTGTTGACTGTTTCGATTTTTGTTTTCAGAAAACAGTTGACAAGCGGAAGATACGTACTATTAACATAGAAGACTTCAGAGCAATTTATCGAGCTATTGTACACAGAAATGAATTTCATGAAATTTTCTGTGCTTACTCTCAAAACCACAAATGTCTTGCTGACACCGAGCTCACTGAATTTCTCAAAAAAGAACAATTTAAAACTGAAGATGCTGAAACAACTGCCTTAGAAGTAATTTTGAAGTATGAACCCATTGATGAAGGTATGCATAGTTGAAGTATTTGATTTCTAGCTCTTATTTTTTGTGCTTTTCATAGACAGTTTATACTGCTGAATACTCACCTGACTAATGCAAACTGGACATTGAAAAAAAAGTAGTGTAAGCAAGAATATTATAATTATGTCTGTTGTATAATATCATTTGTAAGCAGATATATCAAATATTTATTTATTTATTTATTTATTTATTTATTTATTTATTTATTTATTTACAATTCAGGTTTTTGAATATTATAAATATGATAATATTAGAAACTCTTAATAAAGCAAAGTAAATTTACTCAGCAACAGAACATGATCAGCTCAGTCATTCTTACTCCTTATTGCAACAGACTGGTCCAAAATCTAGCTGTAGATTGCTTCAAACAAAATGCAATTTTTCTTAGAGTAGGGAACCCACACTAAATTTTTTTTATATCCACTGAAATATGTGAATGAGCATTACTAGGAAGCCAGACTGACTCTTTAGTGACAATCTCTTTGCTTAATTAATTAGAGGATTACAAGTGCTGGACTATGAAGATAAAAAATACAAATAGTGTTTTGTTATCATGCTATCTGCATTTGAGTGTTCTGTGGCAGAAAGTTTAACTGTAGAAGTAATCTAATACAGTGATTTCACAGAAGAAAACAAATTCTAGTAAAGTCATATCTCTTTGTCTTTACTAAGTAAGGCTGAAATCTTGAACAGTTACACTCTGGTTTGCTGTCAGCTGGGTATTGTTGGTAAGAATTTCAGGGATGCATTAAAGCAGTCTTGCAAATCTGGTGAATTTAAACAATGCTGACAGACTTGGAGTCTGTCAGCAAAGCCACCTGCCCCATTCAACAGTCGGCCCACATATTCTTTTTAAAAACACGGGCAATGAAGTTGTAAAAGCACTTCATGTTCCACTGAACTTCCAAGCCAGTTTCAAATTGAGTCGTATTTTAGCTTCCCTAACACCATTTCTGCATACCCAAACTATATTTCTTTATTCCTCCCTTGCAGCTTCCAAAACTCTGAGTTTTATAGTGTTTTTTTTTCCACTTCTAGTATTGCCCAGCAAGACACTTCTCGTGGTGCAATGGAGGGAAGCTGTCTAAGCAGCTAGAACTGATAATTCAGACTGGAATCTGATACTCAAGCTAGGTTCTTCCAGATATCAGTAATACTTTGCAGTATATTCGTCCTTTCTGAATCAATAGAAATGTGAGATGAGTGATTTGTTGAATCTGTAACAAGCAGATATTTCAGCTGCTGATGGCTGCTTCAAGCTGTGCTGCTGCATTTCTGATGTTTCTCTCAACATGGCAAGAGACAAAATTTGCTAATATGCTGAAAAAAGGAAATCAAACGTAAATAAAATTTATTGGAAACTTTGTTCAGAGGAAGATGAATATTAAATGTTTAACAGTGTTGGTTTCCTTTGGTTTCCATTGTTTCGTACTGAGTAAGGAAAACTGAAAAAATAGCAATAAATTCAAGAAGGAGAAAAACTTCCTTTTGAGATAACAACTCTGTAATGTCTATGCTGATCATTCCCACTATTGTGGGAATAACTACAGCACACTTTCAACCAGAAGCAAAAGGCATTTGGTGTTTCACTAAGTCACTCATTGTCCAGCGATAGCTACAAAATCTTCCTTATGTCATTAATTTTAGAGGCTACCTTTCAAATTAGCACAAATTTTATTAAACATATCCTACTCTTTCTGAAAATTAGTCTTTCCTAAGTAATTATGTAAGTTACCAGTTTAAAAGTTTGTTTTGAATGATTTGATCAGAAAGTTAATAGCTATAAAAAGAACAAGAATCTTTACTCAGTTAGTAAACACAGTTGTAAATATAATTTTTTTTTTTCTTAAATTTCTGATTTACACTAGAGATTTAAGCCAAATTTTCGTTTTTCCTCATCTGTGAAAAAATTGTTTATCCTGTTATTGGAAATAATACTGCTGAGTGAAATAATAGCTGTCTTGTTCATGCTGCTTTGACTGGACAAATATTCCCACTCAAACATATTTAGTAGAAAGTTCCAGATATGATTGACATGATAGTTGATTCATACGGTGTCGTGATATACCGTTTTGTGCAACTGTCATTCTGAATTTGGTGTGGCATATTCTTCATCAAGATGATCTGTTAGACTCATCTGCCAGCCTTGTCCTGTATTTTACAAAAAGAGAAAAGGGCAGATCTTGACACAAGATTGACTGGTTTGCTAATAGTAACAACCATTAACTTAGTACACTGGTATGTCACGATGATGATAAAATCAGTGACTAGATATATACAACACTGATAAGTCAATTGTTAACATTTGGTCCATCGTTAACATTTGCGTCCACAGAGAGACAACTTTTCAATGTCATTGAGTGACATAACTCCAAATTAGCTGTCTGCAGATGCTGTATTTTGTTCAGAAACAGCACAGAATACACTGCTCTTCCATTTTTCTTACACAGTTTAAATTTCTAATGACAAAATTCTGCATTGACAGATTTGTGTGTGTGTAAGCTAAAGTTTGCATTTTTGACTGAAGGACTCATTTATGAAAGTGATCGTAGAAATGGTGAATATGTGAATCATCTGACAGTTACCTCTTACTAACATTGAGATGTCAGGTTTGTTGCACACAAACATTCAGACATCTCTCCATTCTATTACTAATTTCATATAGAAGTCTTGACTCACTAAGTGATATTAAAGAAACCATGTTATGCAAACCAAATGGCCAAAGGGACTTTGTCTTTCTTTAGTACAGCTTTTTTTTTTTTTTAATTTCTTATTTGTTTCTCAAAATTCAACATTTGCATGGATTTGATCACTGAGACATTAGTACATTTGTCAGATAAAGAATTTAAGTAATCTGGAATGTATTTATTAATTAAAAAAAAATTTAGGCTATAAGCTTCTTAGGCTTGTTTGTATGTGCCATTTACTCTCCATTTATATAAATACAATATTTCAGACAGATTTGTCCAACATTTTATGAAAGCTTAATTTCAATATTTCTTTCCACAAAGAAGTTGTAAATTAAGAAAGTAGGAGGAGATGAACTCTAAAAAATATGGGCATATAATATAATATATCTTTCAAAAAATCATGCACTGGCCATAATTCCTGTGATATATATGTATTTTTCTATATGGCAGTGCTGAAATTTACCTTAATTGGGTTGACAACAAGAGAAAAACAAATTACTTTTTACAACAGTTATCACCGGAAAAAAAGAATATTAGCAATAAATAGTGTTTCAGTCTATCTGAAAAGGGAAGGCAAGAAAAAAGCATTGAACTTTTTAAACAAGAAAAAGCTACAAGAAGACAGAAATCTTCCCTTGCTTTTGCTTTTTATTTCTGCACCAAATGGATATGTGTTTACTAACTGCTGCTAATGGAGAAAAAGATTGAGATTCCTCTCGGGAGATGCATAAGGCCTTGATGAAAGCATCTATTCCCCATGGAAAGTTTATGAAGATATATTCCCATTTCTTTTAACACAGAAAAAGAAAGTGTCTGTAAATGACCAGAAAATAGTTTGGCTGTGCTATTTATCAGAATTTAAAAAGCATTGTACTTGTGTTCTTAACCAATTTTGGTATCTTCATCAGACAAAGATAAGAGTGGGTTCTAATGAAACCCAGTAGGTTTCCTTCACTGGTCAGAGACTTATGAGCTAACTAATAGTATGAACTAACAGTAGGAATAACAACAATTTAAGCCTTCTTCTATCTTAGACTTTAAAAACTGTGACCTTTTTTACTAAACAAGAGGTCTTCTCTGCAAAATTATTTTAGCAGATGATATGCTGTTCATGATCATGTGATGATCACATCGCTTCATTACTGCTTACCAATTTCGATCGACAAAGTTGCAATGAATTTTGATGGCTCTCCAGAAACAAGACTTTAGTTGTATGCAAGTGAAAGATAGCAGCTATAGATCCTGAGAAAAGAGCTGTAAATGAATATAATGCAAGGTCTTGTAATAAGCTATAAAAAAATAAGCTATATAAAAATACATATATTTTTTTCCAATGATGAGAGAAATGAAATGAACTCTGAATTCAAGGAACTTATATGCTGACTATTGAAGTAATACATATTTGCCTTACAAAGTATTGTTTCTAATTTAAAGGGACTATATTAATGAGTGCATTTATGTGAACACATGTTCTCTTCAAGACAAAAACTACTACCATCTTCTATTTATTTATGGCAAGAGAAACCCAAAATAATATAAAAAATAGTGAAGAAACTTGAAAACCCAGTGTTATTATTAGCATAAAGTACTGTCTGATTACCTATTGATTAAGAATCACTATCCAACTATGGTGACAAAAATAAGGTTATTTTGCAGTCAGAACTGTGAAAAATCTCTGACTAATTCAAACTAGGTTGTGTTTTGAATCAAAACTGACATCTGAGATTATATAATTTGCAAAAGAGTTACATTTGAAGCATGACATTAGAGCAACAGTTGGCAGCGTAATGGATCTGTTTGTCATTAATTCAGTTAAATAACAAAATAAATGGGATGACTATCACTGGTATGAAGGCAATTAGCATGATTTGTTATAGATGCAGTAATATAATAAGCGTGATTTCAAATTCATCTTTGTGGGCAGTAATTTATATTGTTAAGATGATGTTTCTAATTTCAAATACTTCCAAACAAAACATCATTTTGTCACTAGCTATTTTCAATTTTCCACCATTTAAGATGCTTGATGTTAAGAATCATGGTTTCTACAAGATTATGAATGACATTTTAAAGAAAAATTCCATTATTTTCTACTGAGAAAAAATCCATTAGTGCACTGACTAGCATGTTACTTTCCAAAACTAAACAATAAGAAATATTTTATATTTACTTAGAACTATTGCAAACTTTTTTTTTCTAAAATCCACAGAAGTACAAAAACATAAGAACAAACTAATTTACTCTCATAATTTAGAACCACATCAACACCAGAACTGTACAAATCTGACATTTGTGTTCATATTGCTTTTTGTGAATTTTAAAATTGCAGAGAAGTGTTGGGCTATAAAACATTTAGCAGTGTTCTGAATTATCTACTAAAAACTATGAAAAATACACAGATATAACTATCAGCTTAGCTTCACACCAGATTTTTCACCTTTCTTTTTTTCTTTTTTGAACAGTTAGGAAAAGAAGACAATTGTCGTTTGAAGGGTTTATAAGGTACATGAGTTCAGAAGATTGTATTATATTCAAGAAAGAGCATCGGACCGTCTACCAAGATATGAACCACCCATTATGTGACTATTTTATTTCATCTTCTCACAATACCTACTTGGTATCTGACCAGCTAGTAGGACCCAGCGATTTAAATGGATATATCAGGTATTCACACGGAGGGTTTTTTTTGTTTGTTTTTAACCAATATTGTAAACATTCTCTGGCTTTCCAGAAGTAACTCACAAGTAATGCTTTTGTCAATAGCCATTGTGGATGAAAGTGGAAAACAATAGTCTTATTTTATGTGTAATCTTTTCAATATATTTACCAAACCACTTGATCATAGACTGGAAACAATCCATTGTTTCACTTAAGCACGTAACATCCTTTTCATAGCAAAATAAATCTATAGCATGCAGCACAGTATATGACTTAATCAGTTTTTATTCTCAACATACCATGAAAAAATTACAAATAAACATAAAATTTCTGGGCCAACTCATTTCTGATCAATATACAGGACGTAAGCGCACACTATGTAGCTGTCTGTTATTCGTGATTAATGTGTGTTGCAATGCAGTCTATTTGGAAATAGCAACGAAATGGGACAAAGGTCTTATGCTGGCATTATAGTAGCCAAGAGAGAGAAGAAACTGTTCAGTTGTGCAGCATATGACTCCAAGAACAAAAGGAAACAAGTATACGTTATGGCCAAGATGCATTTAGCAGAAATAAGAAGTAGGAGAAAAAGGCATGTAGAAGAAGAAGTAGGAGAAAAAGGAGAAGTAGGAGAAAAATATTTGTCATGATTTTGGCTGAGATAATTAAAAGTCCTATGAAATTTTTTGTTTGGTTTCTCTCTAGATATTCTCTAATGGCTTGCAATCATCACATTTATTTCTAGCAGAATTTAAAATTATGTAAGGTAAAAACTGTGTCTCTTAAAATAATTGCAAACATGATATTAAACCTTTTCAATTCCTGTTTTTGAATGGTATTAAAATATTAGAAAATATCTGTCTAGATACATCTTTAAGATATGGTTAAAATAAAAAAAAAATATGGTAAAATAATGTTCATAGAATCCTAGAATCACAGAATCATAGAATGGCCTGGTTGAAAGGGACCACAATAATCATTTCAACCCCCCTGCTATGTACAGGGTCACCAACCACCAGACCAGGCTGCCCAGAGCCACATCCAGCCTGGCCTTGAACGCCTCCAAGGATGAGGTATCCATAACCTCTCTGAACTTGTTCCACTGTGTCACTACCCTCTGAGTGAAAAACTTCCTCCTAATATCTAACCTAAACCTCCTCTGTCTCATTTTAAGACCATTTCCCCTTGTCCTATCACTATCCATTCATGTCAATAGCTGTTTCCCCTCCTGTTGGTATGCTCCCTTCAAGTACTGGAAGGCCACAATGAGGTCTCTCCGTGGTCTTCTCCAAGCTAAACAAGCCCAGCTCCCTTAACCTTTCTTCATTGGAGAGGTACTCCAGTCCTCTGATCATCTTCATGGCCCTTCTCTGGACCCGCTCCAAGAGTTCTGCATCTTTCTTATGCTGAAGGTCCCAGGCCTGGACACAGTACTGCAGAAGGGGCCTCACAAGACCTGAGTAGAGGGGGACAATCACCTCTTTCTCCCTGATGGCTGCCCCTTTTTTTAATGCAGCCCAGGATATAGTTGGCCTTCTGGGCTGCAAGAGCACACTGCTCAGTGTGTTTAATCCATCAAACCAGTGTGTTTAAACCATCAAACCATCCACCAGTTCTTTAATCCATCAAACAGTCCATCTTTCAAATCTCTACCTCTCCAATTTAGAGAGAAGGATGTGGTGAGGGACCACGTCAAAGACTTTGCAGTCCAGCTCCTCATCCACCAGGACCCCCAAGTCCTTCTCAGCAGGACTGCTCTCAAGGAAGCCTTCTCACAGTCTGTATAAATACCTGGGATTGCCCCAGCCCAGTATAACACCCTGCATTTGGTCTTGTTGAACCTTGTTACGTTCACTTGGCCCCACTTCTCCAGACTGTCTAGCTCCCTCTAGATTGCTTCTCTTCCCTCCAGTGTATCAATTGCACTGCACAGCTTGGTGTCATCTGCAAACTTGCAGATTGTTCACTCAATTCCATCGTCTATATCATTGATAAAAATGTCAAAGAGCACTGGTCCCAAGACTGACCTTGGGGGACATCACTTGTGACCAGCTTCCACCCTGATACGGAACCATTATTCACAGCCCTTTGGCTGCAACCAGCCAACCAGTTCTTTAATCCATCAAACAGTCCATCTTTCAAATCTCTACCTCTCCAACTTAGAGAGAAGGATGTGGTGAGGGACCAAGTCAAAGGCTTTGCAGAAGTCCAGGTAGATGACATCTGTCCTTCCCCTGTTCACTGATGCTGTCACTCCATCATAGAAGGCCACTAGATCAGGCAAGATCTGCCCTTGGTGAAGACATGCTGGCTGTCTCAGATAACCTTTTCGTCTAGTGTGTGCCTTAACATGGTAACTAGGAGGATGTCCTCCATGATTTTTCCAGGCACAGAGGTTCAAGAAATGCTTACAAAGGCTGACCCGAAAGTAATGTCTTTTTTTTTTTTTATGTTGGCCCACAATGTCAGAGATAGATGTTGATGGTGTGGCAGTAAAGGTTGAATCTTCCCACCAGTATTCTGTTACAATTTGTTGTCATGTGACAGATGCAGCAGAAGGGCAGTCTGACAAAATGGTGCCTGACATGGAAGAGCATATGAAGCAAGGATGTATCATTCAATTCCTCCATGCAGAAAAAATAACACCTGACATTAATAGATGCTTGCTGAATGATTATGGAGATCAAAAAGTGGATGTGAGCACAGTGAAGAGGTGTGTGATGCTCGCTTTTTAGCAGTGGCAGCAGTGACATGAAAGACAAGCCATGTTCTGGATGGCCATGCACATCTGTCACATCACAAAATGAAGAGCACCTCAATCAGCTCATTTGCACGAATCTTCTGATTATGACCAGGGAACTGTGTATGAAGCTGAGTATTGGCTTCAAGGTGTAGGAAATGATGGTGGCAATGTTGGAATATCGCTGTTTGTGCCAGATGGTTCCCATGAATGCTCACACAGGAACAAAAAGAAGACTGTATGCAAGTTTGTCAGGACCTATTGAACCAATACAAGGCATTACTAATGATGAGAGGTGTCAGCGCTGTGAGCCAGAGTCAAAACAGCGGTCTGTGAAGTGGAGCGTGATTTCTCAATTGAAAAAAACAAGACAAAAAAAAAAAAGACAGTCCTCAGTGGCTAAAGTGGTATACATTGATTTTTGGGATAGGAAAGGAGTGATTCTTCTGGAATTCCTGGAATCTGGAGGAACCATCAGCTCTGACCACCACACAAGAATGTTGACAGAGATGATGGCCTGGACTTCTTAGAATCAGGCTAGAGAAGAAATCAATCTTTCTCTTGCAAGATGATAATGGTAGGATCCACATATCAGTTGGAAGGTCATTGAATGTGTTGTCAGTCTTAGTTGGTCTGTCCTACTACACCCACCATACAGCCTGGATTTGCACCTTCTGACTTTCATCTTTTTGAACCAATGAAAGACTGATTATGTGGGCAACATTTTGCTAGCAACAGCTTTGAAAAATCTGCTGGTGCAGATTTTTACAAGTGTGGCATGCAGGCTCTTGTTCATCAGAGGCAAAAATGCACAGCAAATGATGGTGTCTATGCTGAAAAAATCATGTTGAACAGTTGAGAATTTGCTTTATCAGATAGTGTGTTTGTATTCTTTGTCATAACTTCCACAGAAATAAATAGGAAGCATTACTTTTGGAGCTACCTACATAGTAGCAAGGCAAATGTTAGAAACCTAAGTGATTTAAGGGGAACAATTAACCTACTATAAATTGAAGCAGTAAATTTAAGGCTTCTGGGAAACTTTAGCCCTACCTCTTAGAAATTAAGTCCGAGGTAAAACAGCTAAAGAAAATAACAAAGAAGCAGAACCTGATTCTTTAGGTGTGATGGTGATATACTAATCCTTTTAAGTATGACAACTCTCAAACTTTCAGACATATCATGAAATAGTAATAACAAAAAAAAAGCCCTTTCAAGTATTTATTATTTCATTCTAAGCATACATTTATCAACATTCCAAAGTTTTTACTTAAAAATGTTGAGTCTTTTTCAGTCTCTTAATGAAGGCTATTCATATAATCTATCTTCCTCCTTAGTACACTAATAAATTTTATTACCTAATATGCCTAAGATGAACAGCAGAAAACAGAGCTTGGTCTCATATCTTTATAACTTCCTAGGATTTATCAGTTATGATTATAGACTAGTATTTTTGTATTTTATGTGCTTGTAGGCAGAAATATAGTGACATAAAAAGAAATGAGGTGTTTTCCTTTTAACTGTGAATTATTTCCTTTGTTCTTTCCAAGTGCTCTGTTAAAAGGATGCCGTTGTCTGGAAATTGACTGCTGGGATGGCTCAAACAATGATCCTGTTGTGTATCATGGTCACACCCTCACAAGCAAACTTCCATTTTATTCTGTAATTCACGCAGTAGACAAGTATGCTTTTGCGGTATGTATATATATGTCAGTTAAAATGCTACAGTGTTGTAAAAAAGCCTGCAAATATACTGATATCTTGAGATTCTCAGAGGTAAAAAATAACCACAAAACTGAGATAGTCTTTATAGAATGAACATTACTAAAATGAATTACAGGAAAAATGTACAATCTGTTTATTAATTTTGGAATTCTTACCTAAGGTCATTTAGTCAAGCACTGAAAATGAACTGAAAAACTATTTCAGAATCTGTCTAATGTTATACTTTCCGCCTTTATATTTTGCTATGAATTTACTTAACTTATTCTTCTGTTGCTAACACTGTCTGATATCCTAAGCTCGATTTCACAAAATAGAGAAAAAATTAGACTAGAAGTTAGTTTGATGTTTATTCTGTTTTCATTTCCACTTTTTTTTTTTTTTTTTAAAAAATTCAAGATATGATACAGGTCTTCTTGTCAGATGATTCATTAAGGCAATGTCCTTTCTGTCTATCTTTGGCAAAAGAGCAAAAGTTGGAGATTTTTTGTTACTCAGTCTCTTTGCAGATTTCTGACAAAACTTCTACTGAACTGATGTCCTGCAAGACTGTTAATATAATTTGCATAATATATGTGCATGTGTACATTCACACATTTATGTGGATTTTTATACACACACATATATAGTCTATTCAGATTTAAGCTGGTCTTCAACAGGTATCAGATAAATCTCACCTATGTTTGCTTGTAAATAGAATATTGTGTAAAGGTATAACATAGACTTCATTTAAGAAGCATGAGTTATAGAAAAAAGATGATAAAATTATATCAAGAAATAATAGTTCTATAATAGTAACTAGTATGTTCTTCTGATAATGGTCACCAGCAAATCCTCAGTGAAAAAATGTTAAAAATTGAATAAACACAGAATGACTCTTCCTTTATAAACTGTCAGTTTAGATCCTACCCAAGCAAATATTTTATTCATTAGCTGATGACTTCTGAAAATTATTTATAGAATTGAAATGGACATGTCTCCTTTGAGGGATTCTCTGAAGTTTGCCAGAGTTCCTATGTCTCGCTTGAGTACTGTGATGGGTAAAGAATAGAGTCCCAAGAAAATACTGTGATATTATTAAAAAAACATTGCATGGCTTTTTTTTCTTTTTAATCTCCATGCATTTGTTTCTATCTCCTCTTAACGTCCTGAGGATGATGTTTGGTTGTTTTTTTTGTTGTTTGTTTTTGTTTTTTGTTTTTCTCTTCTTTGGATTTAAGTTACTATTTCAAATATTCTTTCCCTTTTCTATAAGTATTGTGAGCTTTACTATTCTGTAACTAACCTAAAAAAACAGACACGTTCGAAATATTTTGCAAATACAAGGAAACTATGAATTACTAAGGGGCCTTCTGCAATATATTTTTGGGGATTTTCTTTATATTTCTTAATCATAATGGACTTTAAATTCTATTGTTTTAGGCATCTGATTATCCAGTTGTGCTGTCTTTGGAGAATCACTGCAGCCCTAAGCAACAAGAAAGGATGGCACAATATTTACTAAATATTCTAGGTGACAAACTTCTTACTTCAACAATTGGTGACATACCGGTGACTCAGCTACCTTCTCCTGAGGTAATAATACTGTATTTTGTTCTGTGAAAATTAGTGAAAAAAATCTTGCTTTTTTTTTTTTTTTAAACTCTTCTGAGACTGATCATTTGCATCTGAATGAACTTCAAATGGTAAAAAAATGAAAAATTAAGCAACACAAAATACATAAAAATATTTTCTTTAAGAAATAAATCATACAGATTAATGGGAATTTTAGTCTGCAAAAAAACTTTCCAGTACCACGTTGAAGCATGTATTCATAAAATGCTAACACAGTAGCATTTTTTTTTTTTTTTTCAGAGGTCTTTCATGTTGCAGTTCACATGAATCCAATTTCTGGTGCTTTGTATACATTAAATGTTTTATTGTATTTTATATTCAAAAGCAGCTAACTTTCCAGTGCATAAATCTGCCTTCCTTAAAGGCAGATGCTTTTTCTTGTGTTTAGACTACCACATTTTGACATAGGACTGCTTCTGTAGATGAACCACACTATGATAATTTAATTCATATTAAGTCATAGTCTAAAGAAATTACAGTAATTTCAGTGTTGGCATTTGGTTTTTAATATGCAGTTTTTTATTCAGTGTTAGAATGGTTCTCAATGACAAGGTGCATTACAGCTGCCTTGTTTTCATATAAAATAAAAAGCAACCTATAAACCTCAGTTAAGTTACTTTTCAAATATTCTAGAAGTTAGAAGTTTGGAATCTGAATTCTGAATCTGAGAGCTGTGCAAAAACCAGGTTTTGGAAATTGAATTTTGGAAATTCAAAGTTATGAACAAATTTTCAGATTTTTCTATAAAAAAACCTTCAAGGTTTCCATTGACCTGTACAGTCGATATTTTGAAATTAAATTGAACACGTCTTCTCCTCTCCTCTCCTCTCCTCTCCTCTCCTCTCCTCTCCTCTCCTCTCCTCTCCTCTCCTCTCCTCTCCTCTCCTCTCCTCTCCTCTCCTCTCCTCTCCTCTCCTCTCCTCTCCTCTCCTCTCCTCTCCTCTCCTCTCCTCTCCTCTCCTCTCCTCTCCTCTCCTCTCCTCTCCTCTCCTCTCCTCTCCTCTCCTCTCCTCTCCTCTCCTCTCCTCTCCTCTCCTCTCCTCTCCTCTCCTCTCCTCTCCTCTCCTCTCCTCTCCTCTCCTCTCCTCTCCTCTCCTCTCCTCTCCTCTCCTCTCCTCTCCTCTCCTCTCCTCTTTCACCTTCCCTCCCCTCACTTCCCCTCCCCTCACTTCCCCTCCCCTCACTTCTCTCCTCCCCTCGCTTCTCTTCTAGTATCCTTGAGTCCATTATTTGAAAGTTCTGAAAGAGGAAACAAATTGTAAATTTTAAAACGAAGTTATGCTTTAAAAGAAAAAACTTTTATTTAAATCTATTGGTGTACCTGTTATTGGATAATTTATCTTAGTTCCTTAGATTAAAAAAAGTCCTGAATTTTAATGTTGTTTAAGAAATGGAAACCTAAATCTACATATATTTTGGTTGTGTTGAGAAAAGTGTTCATGGAACCACTTCACTGAGTTCTGTTACTACAAAAAACATTTTCTCTTATTCTTTGATTCACCCTTAGGCAGTGTTTCTCAGCTGGTGGCTTGAGACCCCAGGGATATGAAGTCAGAAAAGGCAATTAGATGAGGGTAGAAAATTTTAAAATTCCCATTGTACCAGTCTTTGCATTAAATCTTATTTCAAGAACAAAATATTTTTTAATGTCTTGTAACATAAATACATGCATGCAAAACAGTCATTCAGGCTTGCCACTGTCATCAGCAATATGTAAGATGTATTTTCCACACTTCTTTACAGTACCTGAAACAGAATGATGCAAATGCAAATGTTTTGTTTCAAAACGAGGATAAAACTGTGTTCAAGAGGTGTCTGGATGAGGAGCTGCGAGATATGGTTTTAGTAGCTTGTGGTAGCAGTGGTAATGAGAAGATGGATGGACTAGATGATCTTATAAGTTGTTTACAACATTGTGATTCTATGATTCTATGATTGTTTTAATTGTGTCAACACAACATGCAGGTAAAATTTGGTAAAGTAATTGGGAAAAAGAAAAAACATTTTTAAAGAAATTTGTTCAAGAGATTTGCTAGAGTATTATAATGCTACTATATTTTTGTAGCAGTATTGTCTTAAATCTATTTAGTACATCTTTATAAATTTCTCATAAACATTTTTTTTTTAGATTGCAGTCAAATATTTTTATATCAGTGTCCAGTCTCAATTTGCAAACCTTGAAAACACTCTAAATCATAGAATTACAGAATAATTTATGTTACAAGGGGCCTATGCGTCCATTTCACCTAGCTCAAGCAAGGACACTCAGCACAGCGTGCTCAGGCCCATGTCCAGATGGCTTTTGAAGATCTCCAAGGAGGAGAATCCACAACCTCTCTAGGCAACCTGCGCCAGTGCTCATTCATCTGCATAGCACAGAAATGCTAGCGTTCATGAGAAATCTCCTGTATTCCAGTCTGTGCCCGCTGGCTCTTTTCATGGTGCTGGATACCAGTGAAAAAAGCCTGGCTCCATCTTCTTTGCGTTCTCCCTTCAGGAACTTACACACATTGATGAGATATATCCCTCCCAAGCCAGCTCCTCTCCAGACTGAACAGTCCCAGCTCTCTCAGCCTATCTCCACCTATCCACATAAGAGAGGTGCTTCAGTCCTTTTGATCATCTTGGTGACTCTCCTTTGGGCTATTTCCACTATGGCCCTGTCTCTCTTGTACTGGGGAGTCCAGTACTGCACAGAGGACTCCAGATGAAGCCCTGTCTATACTGAGTAAAGTGGAAGGAGCGTCTCTCATTACCCACTGCTGATAATTTGTTTAATGAATCCAAGAATTCTTGATGTCTTCCACTATTCATAGGTTCTTTTCTGCAGCTTTCCAGCTAAGTGCTCCCCAGCATATACTAGTGTCTGGAGCTGTTCTTCCACAAGTGCAAGCCTTTGCACTTCACATGTAAGGGTTTACCTAAAAACATCTCAAAGCACAACTACATTCAATTTAATTGATATACAAAGATTATACATCCTCCATAGCAACCACAGAATCATTGTACTGCATCTGAATCACAGAGTCACTAAATTGCATACCACAGATAATATATCTATGGTAGATGTTACTTTCAAAATGCTTCTCAGAAGAGAATGCACACTTCAAATTTCCATAGCTTACAGTTTTCATATGTAATGTCTGTAGAATTTATATCTGAAAATGTATTGATAGTTTCCACAATTAGTCCCCACTTAAATGTATGCTGTTCATATGAGATTCATGATATGTGAGATTTATACCACAGTAAGAATTACTTGAATATCAGTGTCCTCATCTGATTTTCAGAAGCCTGAATTTAATTAATCATTATGCTGGGAGTCTTGTTTTACTTCAGCTGTTCTGATTTGTGTTGTACATTGCATTAACCAGAAGACAATTTAGAACAAGAATTAGATTTTCTTAATTTAATTATTTAAATATTTTTTCCAATTGATTGTACCTGAAGGTTCTAGTTTAAGAGTCTCAAATGACTTGATAATGCTCCAGGAAGACCTCATTGTGGCCTTCCAGGCCTTGAAGGGAGCGTATCAACAGGAGTGGGAATGTCTGTTTACAAGGGTGGATAGTGTTAGGACAATTAGGGGAATGGTTTTAAACTGAGACAGAAAAGATTTAGTTTAGATATTAAGAGGCAGTTTTTCACTCACAGGGTGGTGACACACTGGAACAGGTTGACCAGAGAGGTTGTGGATGCCCCATCCCTAGAGGCATCCAAGGCCAGACTGGATGTGGCTCTGGGCAGCCTGGACCAGCAGTTGGTGACCCTGCACATAGCAGGGGTATTGAAAAGGACCACAATGATCATCGAGTTTCAATCCCCCAGGCCATTCCATGATTCTATGATTCTATGACCATTATTATCCAGGGAAGATATACTATGCTTTACATGTTCACATTTTTAAATATGTTTGCACTTTATAAATTCATAAATAATAAAGGTATATTTTAAAAACAATTTGTATTTTATGTTTAAATTTTAAAAAATGAAACAATAGTGGATGTTCAGACTTTCAGCTCATTATTTGCTTAGAAGATTTAGACACATTTGTACAAAAAATCTCAAATGTTTAGCACAACTGATTGTCAGTTAAAGAACTCAAATTTCACAGTCACAGATTTTGTAACCATACATTTGTTATGAGTACTTTTGAAGATCTGTTTGAAGCTCAAACTTAAAATGTGTGACGTGTCTTTTTCAGTTCACGGTTCATTTTCAGTGATTCAGGCTAACTTTTATTGGAATCTGCTTATGGCCCAAGATTAAAAAAATCCCTTTTTACTACAGCATTTTCTGTAACTGTTTTTTGAAAGAATGTAATGATTTTTAATTGTTATTTTTATAGTAAAAAAAAAAAAAAATGTTTTTCCTACCTGAGGATGTTTACCACTTTCCTGTAATAATAAGTAGACCAACTTAGAAATGCCTTAAAACTTTATGGCCTCTTTTTGTACAGTGAAACAAATTATGGCCTTTCTTTACTTAAAGCAAATTTACATGCAATATGTCCAAGAAAAGGTTTTCTGCCTCTTGCATATCTGGTCTTTTGTGATTTGTAGAAGTAAGTCTTAACTATGAACATGAAAACATTAGACCAATCGGGGACAGAACTGCTGTTCAATATTGCAATAGATAAAGATAGGAAGGAAAATTTTGAACTTTAAAAAATATGAGTACTCACATTAAATCTCTTCTAAAAATAGCACAGAAAAAGAATGGGTGTATCAGTAAGAAATGAAGGAAGTGTTAAATTGCATCCTTATTCTGAATCACCCATACAGACAGACTAATCAAACCTTACACTAGCATGACATTGATAAATATTAACTATAGGATATATCATTTCACTTCTATACTGACATACTAATAATAACAGATCTGAAGTAATAATATCAGCAAGGAAGATTACAATTCAAATAAATGGAATATATATGTAGTATCTGTTATATAGATTTAGTTTTATATATATATTTCTGTCGTTCCTATTTTTCATATTGATGTAGTGGATAATTTATAATACATTATCTGCTACATATAAAAGTTCAGTTATGCTTTACATAATGTGAAGTAATTGCTTCTTGTTAACTCCCCCTGTACTATAACCTTCCCCTTCACTATTGCATATGAATCATGAGGAATATTTTTGTGGACTACTATCCAAGAACCTAAATTTTATTATTCACTGACAGTAACGGTGTCAGTGTTATGTCCACTATACAATAGCTATTCCTCTGTGAAGATTATTTCATAAGTGAAATTCATACTTGTATTAGAGGCATAGAGGAAAGGCATTTATTGGAAATGATAATTTTTATGAACTTTTTCCTTAGTCCTTTGTTACAGAAGAAGGGATCTTACCAGTGAAAAAATACCTTGTTTGTTATACAGTCAGTAAAAATTTACTAGATAATTCATTTGAATTATTCTAAATTTCTTTCAAACCTTTAGTTAATGAAAGCATATAAGTATCAACGCAAATGTTCTTTGTAGCAGTTTAATAAGACAATGTTTTACCTTTCTTAAATTACTTATATGTAATATTGCTGTGGTTTGTTTACTTTTTCTCTTTATTTTCCTTTCTCCTTCCCCCTACCCCCCCAAAAAATCATGAATTTGAGCACTACATATTATGAGATAGCTTCTCATTTCATTGCAGAATTTTTTCCTATATATATAACTGGGTACTCATTTGATTTAAAAAAAATGCTGTACAACATCATAGCAAAAGTGTATAGAGAAAAACAAGAAATATCTTCATTATTAAACCTACTAAAATTCATAAGGATTTATATAGTGTTTGAAAACATTATGTAAGGTTCTGTTACTGAGTAGAAAAATTCTACTTTCAAGTTAGTAATCTCTAAAACCATCATTCATAGGTGGTGGAGCTACTGATTATGAATGTTCTTTTATGTATTGGAACTGTATGAATAGAGATCTTTATTTTCTCTACATAAAGTGATAGTCCTTTCACTCCATATGAAATGTGCATTTATATATGACCCATGAAATAGAAAAACTATTTAGTCAACAAATTATCAAAGTCCATTGATTTCCACATATAGGTAAGCTCAGCTCTAGGGTCCACAGTGTTCTTGATAATAATAACATAATAACAGAAGTTTTGATTTGATATACCACAGAAGTATGCACCAATGCACTAATCAAACAAGTTTTTTTAGTGGTTAGGCAAAAAAACAGCTTCAAATGAACATCAGATGACTGGCTGCAAGTCTACATATAAAAACATATTCAAGCTTAGTAAATAATGTATTTCCTACATCTTACCTGGCCATCACCTCTGACACTTCCTTAGAATCATAGAATTAGTCAGCTTGGAAAAGATCTTCAGATCTTAAAGATCTTCAAGTCCAACTTCAACATAACCAAATTTACCCTAACTCTAAAAACCCTCCACTAAATCATGTCCCTGAGCACCACATCCAAATGGTTTTAAAACACATCCAGGAATGGTGACTCAACCACTTCTCTGGGGAGCCTATTTCAGTGATTAATAGCCTATTCTGTAAGAAAGTTTTTCCTGATATCCAACCTAAACTTACCCTGATGTAACTTCAGGCCATTTCCCCTCGTCCTGTTGTCCTTATCTTCAGTCTTATCTTCCTCCATCCTGCTTGTATCTGCATCTATGTATTGCAGAGCTTTCTGTTTTTCCTGTTGAATTGTTAGGTATACACATTCTGTTGCATACTTTGATCTCCAGTCTCTGTTTCTGTTTGTTTTACTCACTTTTGAAATCTGTATCACTGATGCCTATATTCACTATATTGTGCTCCCTCACTTCATTATACTTCACGAATAGCTGAGAAAATGCATTAAGCATCATCTAAATATGAAGTTCTACAATTAGTACATACATAATTTTAGTTATTACTGCTCAACTTTTTATCTACAGGCATTAAAATTCAAAATATTGGTAAAAAATAAGAAAAGTGGAACAATTGAAGAAACTATGCTCAGGAAAGGTCAGGACACTCATGGTGAAACAGGGGAAGTATCTGAAGAGGAAATTACATCAAGTGACGAGGAGACTGATGAAAAAGCCCCTCTTTACCCAAAAAGTAAATCCTCAAAAAGAAAATCTGAAGTTAGATCTTCACCTCCACCTCGAAAAAAGGCAAAGGTAAAAACTTATGCAACAGCTGAATTTAGAAAACACATATCTCTCTGTCAGCCTTTCTATGAAAAGAAGAAATATGCTATTTCAAAATACAGACTATGTTTAGGCTTATTTAGGCTTTATTATTACTTAGAAAAATAGATTTTGAAGGATCTAGAGTTTTCCTGAATACATTCCAAACTGGACCATGTTTTAGTATCCAACTAAAAAAGATCTTCCCTGTGCTCCCATCCTGAATTGCACTTGCATTTTTCACTTTCAAATCTAATGCTTGCCCGTGGTGATCAGTGACACAATAGGCTCAGCTGCTTTGTTAATCCCAAAGCCTTTCTGGAGCTATGCATGAAGGACGCTTATAGTGGTTCCTGATGATGAAGGACAGTTTTATATCCATTCCATTCTATGGTCTTACAGTCTGTTTTGGAGAGATCCTTTGTTCTTAATTTGCAGATTAAATCAATTGTAGACTTCTGGTTGCACTAGTATATTTTAAAGCATTTATTATAGAAAAGTTGTTGCAGCACTTATTATGTAAAGACATAATATTAAATACTACTTCTGAAAGAGTCTCTATGAAAATTAGATGTCATTTTCTTTTCGATTGTCAAATTGAACGTTTTGTTAATTGAACAGTAGCTCTCTTAACATGGAAATCCAGAAATCCATTGATTTCAAACTACTTTCTTCAGCATTTAAAGTAGGCAGGATGCACCCAGTATCTAGACAATTTTGCACATCACACTGTGATTGTATGAATGTATATAGACTGCTCCTCAGGACTCAACATTTTTGCTGAGACACAGTAAGTTCCTCAGTGTCTTTTTTTTCTCTCAGTGATTTGAAGTTCAAGATCTTTACTTCTTTCTCTTTCCACCTGATAAGAAGGGATACCAAGGCAAAATTCTGAGGAAGGATGGGATAGGTGAAGAAAAACTTCAAATAATAGGGTCATACGTATTTATGACATCATGTTACAGACCAGAACATATATCATGTGCATCTGGTTCAATTGCAACAAGAGTTGTCTGGTCGCATTTCACATGCAGAAGAGATCATAGTGCAGGATACATGCACTATGGATTGGGAGTATTTATTCTGTGATCCAACCCTACCGTTCTGTTAGGAGGGCAGGAGAACATTCAAATCCACAGCTGAGGTACCCTGGTGACGTTGTTGTATTTGACTTCATCACTTCCTTTCACTTTGAGAGAGTTCTATTATTTAACTCTATGCCAATAGACTCCCGTTTCTCCTCATGGGACATATCTCCAGAATAAATAATGCACTTAAATTTTGCACAGTTTATGTCAGATGGGAATTTACTTTCAGAAGTTTTAATGGAATGTAAACTTTATTGACATTGTCAGCTCTTTCAGGATACTAGCCTGATTAGCTCATACCTCTGTGTTAAGTTAAATGAAGAGGTCATACAGTACCTCAGTTTAAGAGATAATAGGCTGGTAAAATTTCCGCTCACTTTCACTGTACACAGGCATTTGCTTTTGCTTGCTTTGGTAATAGAACAAGACTAAATAAAGACTGACCAGAGAAATTTCAATCTTAATTAAGAACAGAGTTTATCATCAGAGCAGTTAATGGAGGAGTATATCTTTGACTGATTTGTTTGACATGTTGAAATATTCTCCTGTTATCTATTTCTTGTAGTTGAGTTTGAGTTGTCAGTGTGCACAATACCTTCTACTCTTTTTTATTTCTCAAAGTACTTCCTACCAGTATATCTTTTCTGTAATTTTATGTACTTAAGTTGGACATATAGTTAACGTGAGTAATGTTAAGAGCCATGAAAAATGACTAGTTTATATACCTGTCTGAAAAGCAGGGAAATATTAAAGCTGTCCAATATTATGCCAGGAAGCACTGGAAGTATCCCTGCATCCCTCCCACATCTACCGCGATTATCACAAAGACAATAACCTTAACTGTCTTTGACTGGATCAACTCTTACTATCACAAATCATATGTTAAAGTCAAATACACGTTACATGAGATACATTTTCCCACACTTTACATGTCTTATTTGTTAAGTTCTTCTGAATTTTTAATAATGTAATATATACTGTGATTTTTTGTGTTCCTACATTATTTTATTCTCTGATTATTAGATGAAGAAAATGAAGATTGCCATTGAGTTGTCGGACCTTGTGATTTATACCAAATCTGAGAAGTTTGTAAGCTTTGAGCATTCAATAACTCATCAGAAGTGTTATGAAAACAATTCAATTGGAGAGGTTAAAGCACAAAAATTTGTAAAACGTGCAGGTATTTCCTTTTAATTTAAACAGAAAAATTACAGTGTTGTTATGTTTCATTGCTTAGGCATTGGGAGAGTCAAAAAGCTTTACAGAATTTCTGTTGTCCAATTTTACTTGTCTGTTTCTGTAGTGCTGTTTTAGAAATAACTCATTTTCACTGCATTTTTATATTTCATTTGGTTTTGTGAGCCAATTTGAAATTCAGCATTATTCTAATTTCATGCAACTTCACAAGAACAAATATTAATGTGGTATACAAAATGTATGAATACCTTTTGGTTCATTTTTTCCTACATGAAATGATTTGAAAGTTACACGAAAATGTAAGGAACAGATCTTTTTTCTGTACACAATCTGTAGCTCTCAGTGGAGTTGAGCATCAGTACCTCTGACTGCAGATGAGAGAATCCACATGAAATGAACAAACTCATAGAAGACAGTCTGTTCTTTGGACCACATCTTTCATATGGGCCAAGTGGATTACTGAAAACACAGTCTATGTTAGGTTATCTCCTTTTGGTGCAGCCAGAACAACATAGTCTCTGCTGTTTTAACTCCAGCTGCCTGACAACAACCTTCAGGGAGTATTAAGAGCAGAGATCACTGACCATGAGAATGAAGTCTGCCACAGCCCATTCATTCAGGTCCAGCCCAGCTGCCATCCACTCTTGGCAGAGATGATTCAATGGTTGGTTAGGTGAATGGTGCTGAACATCATTAAAGCAAGTAGGCTTTTGCCAGCTGTCCGTACTAAAAGTCCTCTCCGGTCTGTCTAGCAATCTAGTAGTTCAACTAAAATAAGGGGAAAGAAGTTGAATGGAAAGGATCAGAATGATGATCCTAAAAGTTTAAAGCTTTCTTTTCAATCACTTAACTGGAATAGCATAGATAGATGTAATTCTAGATTTTCCATGTCTGTAGTTTATGCCCTTACGGGAGATAACAATTCTAGGAGTAAGAAAATCAACTGACTTGAATAATTAAAATCTTCTGAAGAAGGCAAGAAGATAATAAAGCGTGTTTTAGAAATGTACTACTCACAGGTCTTGAGATGATTCATTTGACTTTTCTAAGTCTCAAAGCAGAAATCAAGCTTAAGTTATTTGAAGATAGGATAGATGTGTTTCCACAAGAATAACTGAAGAATGAACGGGGCTTTTTAGCCAATTTCTTGTTTTGTGTCTTTCCTATTTTACAGGGAAAATGAGAGGTTTAGTGTAAAAACTGTCTACTTAGTAAAAAAACAGGTACAGAAGATTTCCCTGAAGTAATGATTTTGGTTATTGAACCGTCAGAAAGTCTGCATACTAGAAAAAATATTATCAAAGACCATTTTAAGATTTAAAAATACGATTTTTATCACATTTCAAACGGTCACATTTAGTAATGTAACATGCATAGAAATTGTCTTAAAATCTTATTATTTATTTAAATGTCTATTTTTTTTAAAATGTGCCTTACTAAGGTTTTATGATTGTTTTTCAGCTAATCAGTTTGTTTCACATACTTCACGTTTCATTACAAGAATCTACCCAAAAGGAACAAGAGCAGATTCTTCAAATTATAATCCTCAAGAGTTCTGGAATGTGGGTTGCCAAATGGGTATGTATATTTACTGACTGTTGCATTCAAAATTTCAGAGATTATAGAGATGCAGAAGTTCTACCTTTTTGTGAGCTACAAGTTTCATAATTTCCTTCAGTGGCATAATTTTGTATTATCTAAACTTCTCATACAGTCTACATATTCAGGTAACTTTTATATCCCAGAATCTTGGAATTCTGATAAGAAAGAACTAAAAGGAATATTATTTTAAATTATTTACTAATTAATTACAATTAAGTCATAGCTAATTACAAAAATAAATTTTTGCTAAATAGCTATAGGCATATCCCAAACATCTCAAATTATTATAGTTCATTAATTCCTTTGAACTATTGTGTTGTTTTTTTCCCCTATTAGAAACTGAGGAAAAAAGAAGAATTAAGGACAATATATTATTAAACTTTGAACCTTATTTTGTATTATTCCCAACTCTACAACAACACAAAAGCATGATTTAATCTTCTGAAACATTGCAGCAAAAGTGTATATGTAGAACTTTCCACAGCTAAAATATAACTTTCTTCTCTTTCTTTGTACAACTTCCTTTTTTAATTAATAATTCTGTTATATTTCTTGGTGTCTGTCTGTACGGAGAGTCTAAGCAATAATTTATATTTTATTGCCTGCCTGTTTTGGCTGAAATTATTTATGTTAACTAAGTTACCTTAGGTTTAGAGTTAAAAGTGAGCATACTACGCATTAAACAATGTACTTTCAGAAACAAAGTTTTGCAATTTTCCTTTCAAGAAAATTAAAATAGCTTACATCCTTTTGCATTCTGTGTTATTCAAATCCAATGATCTCCATGGTTATTTGTCTGCTGTGCTGAGGCATCACTAGAGCATCTTTATAGCAGAAAGTGGGAAAGGTAGCTTTTTTTATCTTCTTTTTTCTTGTTATCTTTCCTCTATTTATCTCTCTCTTAATAAATAATATAATATAATCTCTTAATAAATAATATAATATAATATAATATAATATAATATAATATAATATAATGTAATGTAATGTAATGTAATGTAGTGTAATGTAATGTAATGTAATGTAATATATTTTCCTTTTCTACTGGAGCCTAACATTCCCTGTAGCTACTCTGTACTTAGCAAGAGAATAGAAGCAGCTGCCTGTTTAACTAAATGTGGGCATTGTAGGAATGCAATTGCTTTTGTATTTTGCTGAAGTTGTCCTATAGCACTGAATTACAAGAGAGGATGGAAAAGTATGTAAATGCGATTTAGGAATCAGCACTGCAATTAAATCATCATCTGAGGATCAGTTTGATTTTCAGTGGCTGTGTGTGACTGGGGTGGCGCTGATGCAGGAGATGTGTGCACAACAATTAATGTTGTCAAGAATTCCCAGATTACGATAGCTACTGCAAAGATGCAGTCAAATACCCCTGATCATCTGGATGCTGAGTCACAGCTGCTGCTGTCTACAGTGACTTAATACAATCAAAGCAGATTTAGTGTCTTTCTTTTCAGTGTATTTCAAAGCAAGTTAGCACCCTGAGCAATGAAATAACAGTAACCTTGGTTTCTCTTCGGTTCAGGTTAGTTTTTAATTTGAAAGTGTTAAAGATAAGCATGACTTTACTCTCAGTAGGCTTTGAAAAATCTCTTAGCCTGTAAGCACTTTCCACTTCTTAATGGCTTCAGGCACAATCTTGCTTCATCATTTTATTCTTCAGTTTAAAAGCAATATTTTTGCATCTGGATATGTATTCTATCATTTATTCTGACTATATCATAATCAGCTGACGGAGACTGTGGAGTGAGTAGGGCAGTTTGCCATAAACTTCATAGTTTCAAGAAGTGAAAGAGACGGTCTCACTTTCTTACATTACAGTTCACACTCATACTGTGAAATATATGATTTTCACTTTGCCTTTAAGGCTCAGGAACTTATGTGAAGAAGGCTTCCCATCGCTGTGGCCCTGACCTCAAGCAGTGGAGGACTGCCCCAGGCCTGAATTTGTTAATGTTTGCCAGCCCTTTACCCAAACTACACAGTACTATCAGGATGTAATGTGGGAAGCAGTGACTAGGGAGGCTGTGTGAAATTTCCCACTCAGTATTGGCTGTTCAGTGAAACAACTGAAATGCACTCAGATCCCCTCACAATTCTCTCATTACAAATTCTGCTTCACATCTTCACTATTGTATTGAGGTATAGTTTTACAGCTACTGTGGGAGTAAAAAATTACTAGCCAGTATAAATTTTGTGTCTGTGTTTTCATAAATATTTTTTATGGTGCATATTTGATACTGGGTTAGGCTTTTGCTGGAAGTATCTCAACATTACCATGCCATTTGAAATTCGTTTGATGATATTCTGCCTTGATTGGTTAATCCTCATTTAACTTGGTGCTGTGCAATTGTGGGATTATTTACTTGAGGTTGTGCTCTCTCCATATTGTCTGCATTGCTATTAAGAACCAGTGTGCTTGTTTCATGCTTAGGGGAAGAACTAGGCAGAAGTCCTTAGTTTTAAAGGGCTTATCACACAGAAGTTTACTTGTTTTATTTCTAGCCTTTACATTTCCATAATGATCTATTTAAAGAATATATCCATTTTTCACGTCTCAAAGAGGGCTTAAATACTTATTAATGACTACATTAAGTTGGAGTATACTTAAATGCAAAATCATTTTGAGGATTCATTAAACATAAGATTTTTGCTTTGGGCCCCTTCTTGGAAGAATTAAAAATATGCAGGAAATGGTTAGATCTGCCCTCTTGGTCACAGCACTTGCATCTTCATTTAAAGGAATGCTTTTCTCATGGGAATAGGCTGATTACAAATAAGTCTTCTCATGAATTATTTCCAAGCAATGCCAGACCACGTCTTGATTCCCTAATCTGTTTCAGATAACTGTTTGGCTGAAATAAGACTGCATTCCAAAATGTAGCTCTAAAACTCCACTCAGTGAACCTTCTACTGATGCTTTTTCTCTGATTTAACTCACGTTTCTTGATTTCTTCATTTATCCTGTTTTCAAAAATCCCACATATTCCCTCTGCTCCTTACCACTGCAGTCTACATTCCATGTGCAGAAATGTTCCCTACAGTCCCTGGGATTTTCAGATTTATCGTATGTCACCTGTTCCTCTTCCTCAGCTCCTTTATCCCATCCCCACTCCTGAATGGTTGCCCTTCTACCTTATCTTTAAGTTCTACTAACTGTTCTTGATGCACAGATAAATATATTAGGTTCATCATATGTAGTTCAAATCTACATATAATACTACTTGCCAGGACTCTCTCTGCATCTTATAAATGATGACAGCTGAGTAATTCTTTCACTTCCCCTATTGATGGGCCCAAAACATTGCTCTCTCCTGTACCTTGCCAGCAATTTTCTCTCTGAACTGTTTGGGACATTAACTTGGAAGATGCCACTAAACCAGGATAAAATCCAGCAAGCCCAAGATTTGCTGAGGCTGAAGATAAGAATTCTGTATTTGTGTAAACCTAATTTTCAGAGGAAGGCAAGTTAAAAATGACAGTGAAAAGAGTTCCCACAAAAGCATTCTTCCATGTCACTCTGCACTCAGTGCCCATTCTCTGAAAACTGGGTCTCATAAGAACAGGGTAGGTTTTGTGAACAAAGAGGTCTTAGGGAGAAAAATACCTACAATAACATTTTATGGTTTGGAAAAATTAGTATTCCTCTTGCATGCTACTGCAGTGTAGCACTGGAAAGAACTGGTTTGGCATATCTTTATCTCCTTTTTATTTACTAAATAAAATGGAAAGTAAAGATTTATGCATGGAAAGAAAATTCAGGATAGCTATTGAAATGAACAGATATGAATTGTTTTAGGAAGGGTGAGGAAAACAGAGCAAAAAAACCCAAACACACACACACAAAAACCCAAACAAACAATAAAAAATTCTCAGTTAAAAATAAAGAGAGAAATAATTAAATATCCTTTTGAATACATCCCTTATATACGGTAGAAAACATTTTCCCATATATCACAACAATCCACAGGTTTGACCAAGTCATCATCAGTTACATGAGATAGCCAGGGTATGGCAGATTCAGGATTTTGTTTTAGAAGAGCTAGCATAGACCATATGTTTTCTGAAGAAGTCATAAAAATGTATACACTACTGTGAAGGAACCACTACTTGTATAATGGAACTTTTTAATTGAAAATTTTGTTTTGGCTTTTGAAACTGAAATGCAGCCTTGCAATTTTATCATATCTGTTGTGTGGCTAAATTTTGTGTGGAACAGTATGACAAAATACAATGCATGAAAAGTGGAAAAAACTTCCAAGCAGTTCTGAATTCAAACTCTAATGCTACCTAGGGAAAAGAAAATCAGTTATGTAGATCTTGTACCTCATTTGCTGAGCAGGAACTGATCATCAGTGTGGGCTAGATAGGACTGCAAATAACTGAAAACTTAAAGGTGAAGCAGATCTTGGAAAACCTCCTAAGGAAAACACAAGACAAAGGCTCACTAATTTACTTTCCAGTTTTCAATTTTTGCATATTTGCAGCAAAAATATGTTTTCTTTTCTCTGTGGATGAATAGCAAAACTAGAGAGAACAGAAGTGATTTTTTTTTTTTCCTAAGATCAATTTACCAGGTTATGTTTGAAGTTTGGGAAGTTTAGATATTCCCACAATCTTAATGAATGCTCTGTATTTCTGAATAAGTGATGAAATGTCAAATTTAGTAAAGGTATTTCTAAAGTAATGTAATAGAATTTAAGGGAAAACACAAGTTCCCCCAATTAAAAGATGGGGGAATATCACTTTTTCTTTTAACCATACACATAGTTTGTTTTACAGTATGATAATTTTATATTCTTGTTTATGATTTCTACTGGATTTTTTTTTTAACAGAGAAAGTGTGTTTTCTATTAGGCCTTTTCTAACTGCTAACAGTATGTCTAAAACAAACTGAGAATATGCATTGCATCATACATTATAGATAGACTTAACTCTAATCAGTGTCTATGAGATGAGGGAGACAGAGA